AACGCCATTCTCAGGTTTGCCAGGGGCCCGTATGCTGCAGCAGTTATTTGGTTGATGTGTGCCTCCGGTGACGTGCTCGGTGTTATGGTCACCCCGAGGTCTTTCTCCCTGAGTGAGGTCTGTAGTCTTTGTCCATCTAGCCTATACTCTGTCTGCGGTCTTCTTTGCCCCTCCCCAATCTTCATGACTTTGCATTTGGCAGGACTGAATTCGAGAAGCCAGTTTCTGGACCACATGTCCACCCTGTCCAGGTCTCTTTGCAGTCCTGCCTCATCCTCATCCGATTTAATTCTTCTCATCAACTTCACATCATCTGCGAATAGGGACACTTCAGAGTCTGTTCCTTCCATCATGCCGTTCGCATATATCAAAAATAGCACTGGTCCTAGAACTGACCCCTGTGGGACCCTGCTCGTCACAGGCGCCCACTGTGATACCTCTTCACGTACCATGACTCTTTGCTGCCTCCCTGTCAGGTATTCCCTGATCCATTGCAGTGCCCTCCCTGTTACATGCGCCTGATCCTCCAGCTTCTGCACTAATCTCTTGAGGGGAACTGTGTCAAAGGTCTTCCTGCAGTCTAGGAAAACGCAATCAACCCACCCCTCTCTCTCGTGTCTTACTTCTGTTACCTTGTCATAAAACTCCAGAAGGTTTGTGACACATTATTTGCCTTCCATGAACCCATGCTGGTTTTCATTTATAATCTTGTTCCGTTCCAGGTGTTCGACCACTCTCCTCCTGATAATCTTCTCCATGACTTTGCACACAATACATGTCAGAGACACAGGTCTGTAGTTTAGCGCCTCGTTTCTGTTTCCTTTCTTAAATATGGGGACTACATTTGTTGTCTTCCATTTCTCAGGTAGTTGCCCAGTTTCAAGGGATGTGTAGATTAATGGTTCAGAGAACCGACATGTTGTTGAATTAGACACATGTGCAACTCTTGGGTATCTTTATTGAGGAAACGTTTCGCCACACAGTGGCTTCATCAGTCCATACAAAGGAGAAACTTGAAGAACAGGAGGAGAATGAGGTAATCAGTCCCTCAGCCTTGAGTCGATGTGGTCAGTCCATCAATTGATGAAGCTGTGATGAATGGTTTTGAAAACCGACAAGTTGAAGAATTGAGACACTTATGCATAAGTGTCTCAATTCTTCAACTTGTCGGTTTTCAAAACCATTCATCACATCTGTCAGACACTGCAACATCATGGGATCTTGGTACAAAGACTTCAACACTTGCCCAACCTTTGGACGACGACCTACTTACACTAGTGGCAGGTCCCACTGTGATCCCACCTCCTCCTGCTTCAACTCATCTCACCGCAGTATATAAGCCACCTCTCTGGCCCTATGCTGCACTTCCTACAAGAGTGATGGACTGAACACATCGAATCCAGGTTGAGGGACTGATTACCTCAAACTTCTACTCTCCTTACCCACTTCTACTTTGTATTGGACTGATGAAGCCACTGTGTGGCGAAACGTTTCTTCAATAAAGATTCCCATGTGTTGCATAAGTGTCTCAATTCTTCAATTGATGAAGCCACTGTGTTTACCTGGAGTTTACCTGGAGAGAGTTTCGGGGGTCAACGCCCCCGCGGCCCGGTCTGTGACCAGGCGAAACGTTTCCTCAATAAAGATACTCAAGAGTTGCACATGTGTCTAATTCAAGGGATGTGTTGAAGATTGTGGTTAGAGGCACGCACAGCATCTCTGCTCCTTCTCTAAGGACCCATGGGGAGGTATCAAGGTCACTTAGCAGCTTCTTCACCTCCTCCTCGGTTGTTCGTATGTCATCCAGCACTTGTTGGTATATTCCCTTTTGATGTTCCCTTCTGTGCTGTCTTCCCACAGCCCTTCCTGTCTCTACTGTAAAAACCTCCTTAAATCTCCTGTTTAGCTCCTCACATACCTCCTGATCATTTCTTGTGAGTTCTCCCCCTTCTGTCCTTAATCTGATCACCTGGTCTTTGACTGTTGTCTTCCTCCTGATGTGGCTATACAACAGTTTCGGGTCAGTCTTGGTTTTCGATGCTATGTCATTTTCATACTGTCGCTGGGCCTCCCTCCTTACCTGTGCATACCTGTTCCTGGCTCTGCGACTGATCTCCCTATTTTCGTGTGTTCTCTGCCTTCTGTACTTTTTTCATTCTCTATTGCACTTTGTTTTTGCCTCCTTACACCGTCGGGTAAACCAGGGACTCGTTCTGGTCTTCCCGTTGTTTCTGTTGCCCTTGGGAATAAACCTTTCCACTGCCTCCTTGCATTTTGTTGTTACATATTCCATCATTTCGTTTACTGGCTTTCCTGCCGGTTCTCTGTCCCACTGGACCTCCCGCAGGAAGTTCTTCAACCCTATGTAGTCCCCTCTTTTATAGTCAGGATTTTCCCATTCAACTCCTGTTACTCTCTCCACTTGCAGCTCTACTGTATATTCAAAGCACAGAACCACGTGGTCGCTAGCTCCTAGGGGACTCTCATACGTGATGTCCTCAATGTCTGAACTGCCCAGGATGAACACAAGGTCCAATCTTGCTGGTTCATCCTCCCCTCTCACTCTGGTAGTGTCCTTAACATGTTGGTGCATGAGGTTTTCTAGCACCACGTCCAACATCTTGGCTCTTCATGTTTCGGGGCCCCCATGTGGCCCGTGTGTGTGTGTGTGTGTGTGTGTGTGTGTGTGTGTGTGTGTGTGTGTGTGTGTGTGTGTGTGTGCGTGTGTGTGTGTGTGTGTGTGTGTGCGTGTGTGTGTGTGTGTGTGTGTGTGTGCGTGTGTGTGTGTGTGTGTGTGTGTGTGTGTGTGTGTGTGTATGTGTGTGTAGCTACAGTAGCAGAGTTATGCTCGTAGTATTTCTCATCTTCAGTAGCATGTTCATCACATTTTTTTTTAATTTCCAGTGGTTGCAGAACTTACTAATTCCTCTATTATTACATTCCACTGGCCTATCACTCAATCTGAGAGAAAAAAATTGTATTATCCTTTCTGCTGTACTTGTTCCTCAACTGTGGCCTCCTGTCATCCCTATTGCAAGAACTAAGAAATCTTCTATATCTACCCTTTCAAGTTTTCTCAAGACCTCAGTGTTTATCATGACTCTTGTTTTCGTCCCATCAATCAACATGGGCATTATTAATGTTTTCAATCTCTCATCAAAGTTCATATTGTTCAACTATGGCAGCTATTTTGTACCTTTTCTTTAAATATCTTCTAAACTATTTACGTGTTTTTTTTCAGATATGGGGGCCAAACCGCTGCATATTACAATTTTGGTATAATATATGTTATAAATACCGTTCTTAACATTGCACCATCCAAATATTTAAAAACTGTTTTATTGTCTCCCAGTGTAGCACATGAGTTTCTTACGATTTCATTTATGTGATATTCTGATCCTTCTGTCTGATACTTTTCACATTTTTTCACATAGTTTATTTTTTTCACGGGGCCTGATTTCACTTTCTCTCATTCCCATTACATGGCATTTTTTTTTTTAACACATCGGCCGATTCCCACCAAGGCAGGGTGGCCCGGAAAAGAAAAACTTTCATCATTCACTCCACTGTCTTGCCAGAGGCGTACTTACACTACACTTAATAAAACTACAACATTAACACCCCTCCTTCAGAGTGCAGGCACTGTACTTCCCATCTCCAGGACTCAAGTCCGGTCTGCCGGTTTCCCTGAATCCCTTCATAAATGTTACTTTGTTCACACTCCAATAACACGTCAAGTATTGAAAACCATTTGTCCCCATTCACTCCTATCAGATACGCTCACGCATGCTTGCCGGAAGTTCAAGCCCCTTGCACACAAAATATCCTTTACTCCCTCTCTCCAACCCTTCCTAGGCCGACCCCTACCCCGCCTTCCCTCCACTACAGATTTATACACTCTCGAAGTCATTCTGTTTTGTTCCATTCTCTCTACATGTCCGAACCACCTCAACAACCCCTCCTCAGCCCTCTGGATAATAGTTTTGGTAATCACATACTTTCTCCTAATTTACACACTACGAATTCTCTGCATTATATTCACACCACACATTGCCCTCAGACATAACATCTCCACTGCCTCCAGCCTCCTCCTAGTTGCAACATTCATCACCCATGCTTCACACCCATACATGAGTGTTGGTACAACTATACTGTCATACATTCCCCTCTTTGCTTCCACGGACAAAGTTCTTTGTCTCCACAGACTCCTAAGTGCACCACTCACCCTTTTCCCCTCATCAATTCTATGATTCACCTCATCTCTCATAGACCCATCTGCTGACGCGTCCACTCTTAAATATCTGAATACATTCACCTCCTCCATACTCTCTCCCTCCAATCTGATATCCAATCTTTCGTCACCTAATCTTTTTGTTATCCTCATCACCTTCCTCTTTCCTGTATTCACTTTTAATTTTCTTCTTTTACATACCCTACCAAATTCATCCACGAACCTCTGCAACTTCTCTTCAGAATCTCCCAAAAGCACGGTGTCATCGGCAAAGAGCAACTGTGACAACTCCCACTTTGTGTTTGATTGGCATTTATCTACATTAAATTCATCATCCAATTATCAGAATCCTCTTGTAATTTACCAGAATCCTCTTGTAAAGATTTATAGGCGAGTAACAAAATACGTGACGATATGTGTGACTGTTTTGGGTCCCCAGACGTGAGCGATACAACGTGTGTGACGATGTTGTGGTTCTGGGCGTGTGACTGACGCATGAAAGTGTGTGACGGTGTCGTGACGCATGAAAGCGTGTGACGGTGTTGCGAGTGTTACCTGACGGTGAATGACTGTGACTATGTAACAGTGATATGACATTGTGTGGCGGTATTGTGACAGTGTGAAACAGTGACGATGTTGTTACAAGTGTGACGATGTGGGACTTCGTGATGGTATTATGACGGTGTGGGACTCCACCGTAAAGGTGGAGTTATGGCGTTGGGAAACTGTGTAGTGACGAGTTGTGACGGTGTTGTATGGTCTCCTGCAGCGTGAGCGAGAAGGTGCGCATGCTGGGATCCCTGACGCTGTGTCTCCTGGCCATGGTGATCATCACAGCTCTCACCCTCGTCAACACCGACTCGTGTACGTCCGCCCCAGGCAGACTCAAGGGCTCGTGATCCAGGGAAATGGAGCTGCTCTCTCCCTCCACTAATCATATCCAATACCTCCCGTTCCTTCTGGGTTTAGCGCTTCCACATCCCTTGGAAGCCTAATTCTGTACTCTTATAGGTATATGTGAAGATAGTGTCGAAGGCTCGTCTATAGCTATGGTGGAGGATTGAATCGTGACCATCCCTTGCGCTGAATGATCCACATGGGTTTAGCACTTCGTATAAAGTATACATAAAATGTAGACTCCCATTTTGATGTTTTTAAATTCCTTTTGAGTTCTCAGGAGTGCTTGCTCTCTGAGTTTTCGTTGTCTGAGCGCTCGTTGTCTGAGTGCACTTCTGGTGGATTTAAAAGCAGCAAACCCCTGTTGATTATTCAGTTTAAGAGAGATAAGGATTCGCTCCTCCGTCTCTGGCCACTGTGGTCCGGTCTCTGGCCACTGTGGTCCGGTCTCTGGCCACTGTGGTCCGGTCTCTGGCCACTGTGACCCGGTCTCTGGCCACTGTGGCCCGGTCTCTGGCCATTGTGGCCCGGTCTCTGGCCACTGTGACCCGGTCTCTGGCCACTGTGATCCGGTCTCTGGCCACTGTGACCCGGTCTCTGGCCACTGTGACCCGGTCTCTGGCCACTGTGACCCGGTCTCTGGCCACTGTGACCCGGTCTCTGGCCACTGTGACCCGGTCTCTGGCCACTGTGATCCGGTCTCTGGCCATTGTGGCCCGGTCTCTGGCCACTGTGGCCCGGTCTCTGGCCACTGTGACCCGGTCTCTGGCCACTGTGACCCGGTCTCTGGCCACTGTGGCCCGGTCTCTGGCCACTGTGATCCGGTCTCTGGCCACTGTGACCCGGTCTCTGGCCACTGTGGCCCGGTCTCTGGCCACTGTGACCCGGTCTCTGGCCACTGTGACCCGGTCTCTGGCCAGTCATGGTAAGCATACCTGGTGAACTGTTATAATTGTTTCCACTCAAAAGTTTCCATCAGGATTTCAAATTTAAGACTAAGAGTATTTTTTTGTGCTATATATATATGTATATCAGTATCAACACTGCGACTAGCCGAGGGCTCGAACCCTTGTTGTTTTGGCCGGCCTCATGGTGAGCAAAAATCACATAACGCTCTAACCTACAGGACCGCCCAATCCTACAAAGATCAATTACCCAGCAGAGCTAGGTGTTGTACCGTGATCCGAGGACATACGATGGTGGGGGTGTCTCAGAGCTAATTTCATTTGTGTGATTTTCGCTCGCCATGAGGCAGGCCAAAACAATACGGCTTCGAGCCCTCGGCTAGTCGCAGTGTTGTTATTGATTAAATACCACATGTTCGTGGTTACAATACGATATATACAGCTTGTAGAGGCTAGTACACCAAACAGGGTGTGAATGAAATTAGCTCTGAGGCAACCACCCCATTGTTGTCTTCGGATCACAGTACGTGTCTTGTGAAATGGGGGGCCCGTGGGTTATGTGCATGTGATTTTTCACCTGGGGGGGACAAAAAAAACACGGGTTCGAGCCCTCGGCTAGTCGCCCCTGTTTTTATTGATTAAATACCCCCGTTCTGATTTTCCCCACATATAATATATATATATAATATATATTATATATATATATATATATATAAATATATATATATAATATTTTAATTATTAAAAATTTCGTGTATTTATTATTATTAATTATAAAATTTTATATATATATATAATAATATTTAAAAATAATATTTTAAAATACTTTTTATATGTGTGTTGCTTGGGGGTTCATGAGAGAGGAGAAATGGAAAAAATTTCTGTAATCCCCACCGATGAACGATATTTTGGTAACACTTGGTATTTTCATGTGGAAAAGTTCCGCCGCCAGTGGGGTTCAGCCCCCAGTACGAGAGTGGAAGATGGGAGTTTTAGGGAATCGTCCCTCAGTTTTGGGGTCGATGTTCAAGTCCTCAATTTGATGGGGTTGACACTCGCTTATGCGAAAAGGATCTTTGTACTCAGGGCAGGTCAATGCAGCAGTTGGAGGGTGCAACGCGTGGAAAAAAATCCCCTGTTTGCCGTGGATTCTTCCCCCGTTCTTTCCGTTGAATGGACGATAAACCCCTGGCTGGTGAGACGTTTCCAGTATGATACCCAAAGTGGCGCGAGTATGACATCAACTTTTTGTTCTTTAGAGTCTGACCATTTTATAACCCCAAACGTTCTGCCGTAAACCTTTCCTAACAATGTTTTTAAAGGTTAAGATTAGTTAAAAACCCTTCCCTTATCCGTCAGACCGATTCCTATTTCTTCCCGGCGGTGCACCTTTCTTCAGGCGAAATCCTAAGACTTTAATTCTTTTCCCCAAAAGGGCAGTGACCTTCTTCGCGTCACCTGATATCGTGGGTCTCCTCAAAGTAGGTGGACGGGGGCCGCTTCCCCTATGGCCCGGTTCACGCCCGAACTCACCTTTGTTCCCATAAATTTTGGGAATTTCCCAACATGCATGGACATAAAAAGTTATTATGACAACGCAGGTCACAACACTGACTAGAAAAACTTCATACTAACCCACAGTACCGTGACCTAACCTTCACTTCTAGCCCACATACCGTGCTAGAACACTTCCAAACTTAAAAAACCCACGTACCGTGACTAGAACCTTCATACTAACCCACAGTCCCTGACTAGACACTTTCCCACAACCCCCCTTCCCGGGCTAGAACACTTTACTACTAACCCACAGTACCGTGATAGAACCTTTCCCATAACCCACAGTACCCTGACTAAAACTTCACTACTAAACCCCCCAGTCCCCATGCCTTCACTATAACCCACCGTCCGTACTGAAAACTTCACTACTAACCCCCGTACCATACTAGAACACTCACTATAACCCCATCCGGACTAAACACTTCATACTAACCCACAGTACCCGGGCTAGAACCCTTTACCTAAAACCCCAGTCCGTGCTGAACACTACCCAAACCCCCCCGTACCTGACTAGAAAACCTTTTACACTCCCACCCCTACCCTGACTGAACCTTCACTACTAACCCCCCGTACCGGACTGAACACTTCCCTACAACCCCCATCGTGACTGGAACATTCATATAACCCACGTACCGGACTAGAACACTTTTACTAAAACCCCCGACGTGACTAGAACATTCACTACTACCCACAGGGACCTGACTAAAACACTTCACAACCAAAACCCCCGTACCGTGACTAAAACACTTCCACCCAAAACCCCCGTACCCTGACTAGAAAAACTTCACTTTCTAACCCCCCTACCGGCTAGAACTTCACTACTAAAACCCCAGTCCGTACTAAACACTTCCCCCCCCCCCACAGTACCGTGACTAGAAAACCTCACTCTAACCCCCATACCGTGACTAAACCTTCACAACCAACCCCAGACCGGCTAGAAACTTCACTACTAACCCCAGTACCGTGACTAAAAAAAACTTCACAACCAACCCCCAGACCCTGACTGAACACTTCCCTAACCCAAGTCCCCTGCTAAAAAAAATTCCAACCAACCCACAGACCGGGGGTAAACATTCACTACTAACCCACTACCGGTAAAACCTTAAAACAACCCACGTACGGATAAAACCCCCCTTCACCCCAAACCAAAATCCCTGACTAAACACTTCATACAAAACCCCCAGTACCGTACTAGAACACTTCCTCTAACCCCCCAGTCCGTGACAGAACACTTCATACAACCCCAGACCCCTGACAAAACCTTTACAACCAACCCACAGTACCGTGACTAGAACACTTTTACTACTAACCCCCAGTACCGTGACAAAAACTTCACAAAAACCAACCCACAGTACCTGACAGAACACTTTATACTAACCCCCAGTACCCTACAAAAAATTCACAACCAACCCCGTACCGTGACTAAACCTTCATACTAACCCCGTCCTGACTGAACACTTCCACTAACCCACAGTACCCTGACTAAACATTATATAACCCCCAGTCCTGACAGAACATTCACTACTAACCCACAAACCCGGGTAAACACTTCACTCAACCCCCCAAATCCCCTGCTAGAACACTTCCCTACTAACCCCCAATCCCCTGCTGAAACATTTACTATAACCCCAGTACCGTGACTGAACACTTCATACTAACCCACAGTACCGTGCTAGAACACTTCACTACTAAACCCCCCGTAACCCCTGACTAGAAAATTTTACTAACCCCCCGTACCCTGAAATAAAAAACTTTACAACCAACCCACATACCCGGGCTAGAACACTTTACTACTAACCCACAGTACCCTGACTAAAACCTTCCCCAACCCCAAACCCCCAGACCCTGTAGAACACTTTACTAAACCCCCGTACCGGACTAAAACCCTTCACAACCAACCCCCAGTACCCTGAAGAACATTCCTACTAACCCAAGTACCCCGACTAGAACACTTCAAACCCAACCCATACCCTGACCCGAAACCCATTCACTACTAACCCACAGTCCCCTGACTAGAACATTCACTACTAAAACCCCCAAAAACCCTGACTAGAACACTTCACTACTAACCCCCAGTACCCTGACTAGAAAAACTTCACTATAACCCACGATCCGTGACTAGAACATTTCCCCACAAACCACAGTCCTGATAGAACCCCTTCATCTAACCCCCATACGGACTGAACATTTACACAACCCACATACCGTGATGAACACTTCACTACTCCCCCAGTCCGTGATAGAAACTTCACTACTAACCCCGTACCGGTAAAACACTTTCATATAACCCACAGTCCCTGCTGAAAACTTTACTACTAAACCCCAGTACCCTGACTAGAAAACTTCACTACTAACCCCCTCCCCGGGCTGAAACTTCCTACCCCCACATTCCCGGGCTAAAACACTTCACAACCCAAACCCCGTCCCTGCTAGAACACTTCACTACTAACCCCCCGACCCGGCTGAAAAAAAATTTATATAAACCCCCGTACCGTGAAGAACCTTCACCAACCCCCCTACCGTGATGAACACTTCACTACAACCCCAAAACCGTGAGGAAAACTTACAACCCAACCACCGTGACTGGACACTTCACATCTAACCCACGTGACTGGAAAACTTCACAAAACAACCCCCCGTGACTGGACATTCACCTAACCCACCCTGACGGAACTTCCAACCACCCCGTGCTGGAACACTTACATCTAACCCAACGTGATGGGAAAAACCCTTTACAACCCCCCACCGTGACTGGAAAAAATTTCCCCCACCCCCGTGAGGGGG